TTATTATATTCTTTAATCTACTTAACTAAGTACTATATATTAGTAATATAAGTTTAGAAGTTATATATATTATATTAGATATCTCTAAAAATATTATACTTACTATATTAAACTTCTTTTTCTAAATTATATTTTCTCTAACTATAATTACTCTAAAATATAAATAGTATATCTTTAAGCTTATACTTTTTATTTATACTCTTACTTTTAAAGATACTATTATAGTTTATTTACTATTAATCTATTTACTAATATTACTAGATAAATTTTAGAATTACGCCTCTAAGAAGTAAAAAAGTAGTACTACTACTACTAGTTTATATATATCTAAATACTAATATAAAAAGTATATACTAAAAGTATTTAACTATATAAATAAAAACGCTAATTTATATATATTTATATAGTATACTTAAGTAATTTGCGCTATAAGTACTTTACTTAGTTACTAGTTATTTAATATAAGTAAAAGCTATTATTACTTTAGAATTACTTTAGATTTTAGTTATTACTTTCTTTAAAATTATAAACTACTCTTTTATTTTATTCTATTACTTACTTTGTACCTCTTTCTTAACTACTAGCCTAGTCTAAACTTAGGCAGAAATTTGGTTTCAATTTAAATTATGTAATTACACGCTACTCAATTCCCCTCTCTTCTCTGCTTCTTATCTCCTTTGATGTTCTTCTGATTAACGTATTCCATGCCTGTCCCCGAGTGCGTGTTGCTGCCACTGTTCGAATGTTCCTTCTGCGCCTCGTAGTCTTCCTGGTCTTGTGCGGCTTTTTGAGGAGTCTTAGCGGACTTTTGCACACCAAAGGTGTCTTCGCTGTTCTTTGAGGGGTCGTTGACCTGGTCTTGAAATAGGGTGTTAGCGAAGAGGAATGACGTGGAAGGCGCAGGAGACGTACTCGGCATGGTGATTTCGCTGGGACTGATGCTGTGGAGTTATGGTACTTGGGTCCTCAGCAGGAGATTTGTGCGAGATGAAGTTCTTTTGAACAGTGTGTACCTAGGTAGACGTCATGAGAACGTCGGGTTGCGTCAACGTCAAGATGACGACTCGGAAGTCATCACCGAGCGTCCTGCATCATTGATCGGCGACACACTTGACATCAATGCTCAATAATCGTATTTCATTGAGCTGTTCGATTGTTCGTGACTACGTGTTTAGGCTTGCGCATCCCGTCGCGCGTTTCGACGCGTCAACCGAGGCGTCCCTGATCGACGAACTCCAACCCCGCTACCAGCCACCTCATCCCCGATGCCTCTCAGCCCTTCTTCTCTTCGCCCTTGCCGCCATCCTTCTTGTCTCCGTCCTTCTTTGATGAATCGCCCTTGTCGCCCGATGCTTTGGGAGGTGGTGCGCTACCACCGCCGCCGGAGTTCATGAACTTGTCGTCGAGCTGGTCTGAACGCTGTGAGCTACTGGAGCATAGATCACTCGTCAATCAAAGCATACCTGACATGATGTGAAATGTGAAGAGAAGCTAAGGCAAGGATGGAGTCGTTATGAAGGCTGACTCTGTAGGGATGTCGGAGAGGAGGAAGAGGTGACCAGAACTTAAGGTGCGGTGCTCTCCAATACCTGCCTTGTGGTACAGCATGCGACATGACGTTGTTGCGCCTTTCCCCACATTCGACTACTTGGCTGAAGTCTAGATGCTACACAATGCTAGTCAGGCCGTTTACCCGTCTTCTGAACTAGTTCGTAAGAGGCGACGTCACGAGGAAGCAGGGAGATGTTGATGAAATGCTGATTCTACGGACAGTAAGAGCTGAAATGAGCTATCGTACTGCAAGGTACTATCTACATCGAGCGTCAAGCTGCCGAGCCCTTGCGCAAAGATTCTCGCACTTTACAATCTTGGAAGCCAAGAGAGTCCACAAAAGCATCTACCTAGTACCGACGGCCCCTGCCACCACGCGTGCCCCGATCCCATCTACCACCACCTCTTCCGCCGCGATTTGGGAAGAAAGACGGGTTTCTGAAACTGTTGTTCTCGTACCACCAGTGATCATCCCGCGAGACATGCAAATCTTCGGACTTCTCCACGTAGCGTTCCTCCTCTTGTCGCAAGAGGTAAAGTCGGCTCTGGCTCAGGGGCATGATTGAGTAGCCAGCGGCGACACTGTCGGTTATGGTGCGTCGAAGAAACGAAGTGAACTGAGGCTGAGATGGCAAATCCTTGAGACCCATCTTAGCCAAGAACTGCGGAAAGGCGTCGAACTGCTGGATCTCGCGAATGTCTTCGGCCATGCGCGTTGAGGTACCCGGCGGAGGAGCCCCATGGGCGTCAAACAAGGAGTCGCGAAGCTCAACCAGGGTCTTACCGGGTGGACGGGCTGCTGCACTGAACATCTTCAAGAACATCATGAGGCGATATGAGGTGGGAGAGGCAGCGTATGTCTTGCTCGTACGGTATTCGGAGATCTTGGAGGGTTCCAGGTATGCGAGCTCGGCCATACCAGCACCCTTCTCATCAAGCATCCAGACGACGTTGCGAATGATGGCTTCTTCGATGATCTCATAAGTCAGGTCTTCGGTAAGGCCGTCGTCGCAGATGAGAGCCGCTATGAGAACGTGACCGAGATCGGGGAAGTTTGCCTTGTTGCGCGGACCGGCCATGAAGCGTCTGATCGTATTGTTGGCGCTGTCAGTGATGTGAGAGTTCTCGATCGCCAGGCATAGCAGTAGGTGGAAGAGACCGAAATACGCGTCGACGGCCTTCTCTGACGCGTGACTCAAGGTGCTGCGTGCGTCAGGGCCGCTGTAGCTCTCTGCATCTGATGAGAACTGAACGACAACGGTGTTCATAGTATGATACAGGATATCCACATAGCAAGCTCCAGGGTTCGTGATGTTCGCAGTCCTGTGGATATCCAGCGTGCTCTCCATCACATGATCTCTAACTTGATTCCAGTGGCGTCGGCTCAAAGGTAGAGGTAGCCAGATGTCGAACTTAACACCCTGAACGCTGCGTCGGATGTGGTGCTTGTAGAACGCCTCGTGGCTCAACAGATCAAACTCTGTTCGGAAGACCGGCCGATTACCGCCTGTCACAGCGATACCAATACCAAGCTTGGCGTCGAGGAATGATTCTTTGAGACAAAAGCATTGCAGCTCGCGAATGCGGATGAAGTCGTAGGAGTTCATCTTGTGCTTGATGAAGGGAATGGCGTCGGCGAAGGCCAAAACGTCAACGGTCTTGGAATTGCTGAGGATCTCGAGAAGGATCTCATCTGGTAGCCTAAACAACCCCGAGGGGCCTCCCTGATGCTGGCTCGGGGCTGGGGCGACAACATCTGGTGCAGGTGAGTCGACCTCTATTTCACCAGCTGGTGCTGGTGACGAGTCTTCTCCAAATCCACACAGAGAGCATTTGAAGCGATCTTCTCCCAAAGTTTGAGCCTCTTGCTGCCGATACCAAGCCAGATCGACAGTGCCATTACCATGGTCTTGCTCTAGCGAATCACTGGAGAAGAAGCTCAGCAGCTGGATAGCGATACCCTTGAGGGTGTACGCTGGCGTCCAGCCTTCATCGGTGTTCAGCATGGTGGCGCAAACATAGTCGCTGAAGACGTTTGGGTGGATGATTGCGCTTTGGATCGTGACGTCGGGCGCCACCAGCGGATATTGGCCGGTGAAGCGGATCTTGAGGTGGAGCGGCTTCTGTCCTTCCGGAGTAAGAACAAGACACGCTCTTGTGATGTCATTGTCCTGGAAGTGAATGCGGACGTTGGGATACGGATCTTGTTCGATCTCCGCGATGTCCTTGAGGAGCCGACGTCGCAGTGAGCGTGACTGAACTGCGTTAGCTTGGTACTGCGTCATGACGACGAGGTGCTGCGAGGTTGCGGTCGCGAGGTTCGGTTCCGTCAAGAGAGTGACAGGAGACGTTAAGAGGAAAGAAACAGAGGTTATAGCGCGCGTTCGAGTTGTCAGTTGCTGCAGGTGGTCCAGGCTGAGTCATGCACGTGACTAGGCAGCACAACAAACAAACGGAAGTGTGGGTCTTGACGCCCTTTCAGATTGATGGACAGCTATCAAACCTGTCTGATACTGCATTGAAGAGATAGTATGACCAATCTTCTGCTCCTAAAGCATCTACTGAATGGCTTTGCGCGGACAGGCAAAGGGGACCTGAGTTAGCTATGTCTAAGACTAGTGGCTTTGAGTTTACAATGACGCAACGTTATCCCCACGGCCTACAAGACATCTCTGGTGTCATTTTGTTATTGGGAAGTCTGTTTGAATGACACATCCTAGTGCGCCTTAACCAAGTGGTCCAGAAAAGGGCGTCAAGGTAGCCAGCTAGGGATGGCTTGGTAAGATTGAGTAGTGCGACTTTAGGCTAGGCCACTGGGTGAATAAAGTCTCATAATCTCACAACGTGTCGCATGTCTTTGGTCTACATGATAGACTGAGATGGGGACGGATGGCTGGAGGAATTCAAGGAAGTCATATGGCTGGATGGGGTCATGTCATCAGTGATGTCTACACTTAGGACTCGTAAGGACTTACTATGTAAGAGTATAGTGATGTGAGAAGGAGAATATAAATACATCGTCTGGATGAGTTGAAGTGCGTCTGGCACGTAGAAGTTATGTTCGGGGCCAAATGGATGAATACGAGGACTAAATTAAAGCTGAACCCTCGTGCAACAAGACGCAGCGCGGACCGCCTCAACATGTAGAGCTATGCGAGCAACGCGAGGATGAAAGTCGTGAGAGACATATCTATTGGACGAAGTTGTCGAATCTGCATCTATCGGGAACTACAGAAATAGAGAAAGTGAAGGAAGAAATGCGGACTCCACAATAGTTCTTGCATCGTGCGACTGGATGACACGACGAATGTGAGCACCCGCAAATATGAAAGAGGGGGAGAGATCGCAATTTGGGCTATAAAGAGCCGTTCGCAGTCGTCTATGCCATTCCTTCTATCAATCCAAACTTGTTCGTATTTTCTCCTGCCAACCATTGAAATCAGCACATCATGAAGCTCGCGGCCGTTGTCCTCGCTCTTTTCTCATCGGTCGCCTTGGCCGCCCCTGCGGCCGAGATGGACAAGCGCGCCGTCGTTGACGCAACTGTCGCCGTCGACGGGCTGCGCTATCGAACGTGCCCGAAGACGACCTGCTCGGCTCCGGGTCAATATCCCAAGGGTACCAAGATCAAATTAAGCTGCTACACCACGTCTGGTACTACTGAGGTGAATGGAGACAAGTAAGTCATAACGTGACATGGGAAGAACTTTTGTGCTGACGTGAGTGAAGGCGCTGGGCCAAGGTCTCCGGAGGTGTTGGTAATGGCCGATGGGTATCGTTGGCGTATTTGGATTGGCCTGGTGCGCTCAACCCGTGGTCAATTCTCTGCAGGAATACTGTACTGATCCGACATAGGAACGATTAGCGGTTGCTGATATTGCGTGCTGCAAACGGAGGTAGTACGGCTACGATGCGCTTCTCGCTCACTCGGTTTCGCGACCACCTTGGCGATAAGTTTGCTGATATTTGGTGGATAACACAGTCGCTAGCTATGGTTCAGAATATGCCTTCTAAACCAACACTCCAGCTTTTCCCCAAGTGACTTGTGCGTCGGATGATGATCGTGCCACGAGCTTGTGACCAGTGATTGCTACATTCTTCCACTTCAGACTTGTGCAATTGATGGTGCCCTTGAACTTGCGACAATCGTTGCCAGAGAAGACAATGTACCCCAAATCTGTCTCGTTATGTTCGGGTGCCTTGGACGCGTTGTGGCCGGATTCCGTAGGGCTGCCGCTCCATCGCAACCAGAACTTTGGTGAACGGAAGCTGTTCTTTTCGAATGTTTCGAAGCGAGTTCTTTCGGGAGACTCCGGCTCCGTGTTTTCGCTCTCTTCCTCGTCCTCTTCCTCATCTTCCTCTTCGTTTGATTCATCTGGTTCTATCTCTGCGATCGTTCGCCGAAGACTGTCACGACTGCCAGCTAAGATGACTGAGGCTTGTAACAAGCCCGGCAAAGATAATTGGCCCACGACACCCTCGCCGGCTTCGGTCAAGCGATACAGCTCCAGCGATGCATCTTGTTCTGGCTGCGTATCCCCAGTTGCGCCCAGGGCCTTTTGCCATGTCGGACATTTGACAGAATAGCTTGCGAATGTCTTGTGAACGTCGAATGCGCTCGTATGTTTGGATTTTCCACTGCGGCCAGTGCGGTTGTGCATGTGCCGCGTCGAGAAGGCGGCGTCTTGCCAGTCGTCCATTGCAAAGGAAACTGGATGTTAGGGCTCTAGAGTCAAAGATTGTTTGAATGGTGTTCGTGGGCTCGTGTGCCTCGTTGCCAAAGAGAGGTTGACGTCATAGACTAGCTGGATCCCAGCCTCAGGGCCTAAGGAAAGCGAGTGATGGTCCTGGTGTCTCTGGAATGCCACAGTGGGAGAAGCATAAAGCATGTCAGGACGGCGATAGGGGTGCATCGCGGGGCATGCATACTCCGCACTTCCAACCTGCTTATATTAGTCGGATCACTCCCACAACGGTAGTCATGTGCTGGTGGCTGGACCAGCCATTCTGCATCTGTCATGACGGGCTTGTCAGGTCTTGCCGTCCCGGGCACAGTGTACCTATCATCGGGTTTGGGAAAAGAAGTTGATGGCGGCATGTCAAGGGTCAAGGGTTAGGTGGGCCGCACGTGAACAGGCGTTGGAATTCGGGCGTCGCGAATCGCTCCGTCAGCGCAAACCAACAAACACCAACGATGGCACCCAAAGGGTCTAAGAAGTCGGCGGCTGCAGCGCCCAACAAGACGCTCGTCCTGGACAATGGCGCATATTCGATCAAAGCCGGTCTAGTCTCGCCAGCCTCGGAGCCTACCTACGACGACTGCAGTGTCATTCCCAACTGCATCGCGCGCAGCACACGCGACAAGTGCACCTACGTCGGCGCCGAGCTCGATTCGTGCAAAGACTTTGGAGAACTGGCGTTTCGCCGTCCAGTGGAAAAGGGCTTCATTGTCAACTGGGAGGCGGAGAAGGCGATATGGGAGCATGAGTTCATGGGCGACGCCGTGGGGGAGGGGTTGAGGGTGGGTACGCACAGTCGCGAGCTCGTGAAGGGTGTGAGAACTGACAGAACGCAGTGTGACCCGAAAGACACAAATCTGGTCTTGACAGAGAAGCCAAACTGCCCGAAAGAGCTGCAGAAGAACTGCGACGAGATCATCTTCGAGCAGTTCGAATTCGCGGCCTACTACCGATGCGTTGGCGCGACACTCAATGCCTACAACCCTCCCACCGCGTCCTCGTTGGCATCGCTACCGCAAGAATGCCTCCTCATCATCGACACATCGTACTCAGACACGACCGTCCTCCCTCTCTACAATGGCAAGCTCATACAATCGGCTGTGCGGCGGCTCACAGTAGGTGGGAAGCTGCTCACAAATTACCTGAAAGAGCTCTCCTCGCTGCGGCACTACAACATGATGGAGGAGACATACCTGCTCAACGAGATCAAAGAAGCAGTTTCGTACGTCGTGCCATCATCGCAGCAATTCGCCAAAGATCTGGAGCGCACTTGGAAAGGACGGCTGGGAGACAAACGAGAGGTGGATTCGAGCATAGTGGTCGACTATGTGCTGCCAGACTACGAGAATGCTATACACGGGCATGCGCGACCCCACGACCCTGCAAAATCACGCATGCGCCGAGGGCTACAACCGCTACAAGGACCAAGAGAAGATCTGCTGCCTCTAGGCAATGAGCGCTTCGCCGTGCCCGAGCTCCTCTTCAACCCCTCCGATATTGGCATTCAGGAAGCTGGAATACCTGGCGCCGTCATGGAGTCGCTGAGTACACTGTCAGAAGCTCTAAGAATCGGCCTGTTGGCGAATGTTGTAGTGGTGGGCGGAAACTCGTTGATTGCCGGCTTCATGGAACGAATGCAGACAGAGCTGAGGGCTCTAGTACCAGCCGAGTACGCGCTGAACGTGGCGAGGGCAGATGATCCGATCAAGCACACATGGCTAGGAGGAGCAAACGTCGCTAGCCAACCCGACTTGTTGAAGGAGTTGCTCGTGTCCAAAGCCGAGTATGACGAGAGGGGCTCTACGTGGCTAGTAAAGAAGTTTTCATGATATACATAATAGGCACTTCGAAATGATAGTATCTTTCCTGATGCCAAAATCTCTAGATCAAAAATCGAAGTGCATGCAGAGATCAGACGACGCATGGTCCCCAAACCATGGGCTTCTCCAGTGCTCGGGGCTGCTAGGGCGCTGATTGGCTGATGTCCGGCGGCTTGGCGTGCTCGTTGACATGTCGAAGGAATTTCCAGCAGAGGTGCATCACCCGCATCTCGAACCCAATGCGCCGAATACCGCGCCCCTCGCGGGCAATTGATCCCTCACATCCCCTCTCCGCTTGCATACGGCAAAGAGCCTCGCCATTGCCCTGCCGCCCCGCCCCGTCGCCCTGCACCCATCTCCGCACCCCATCCGCCGCCTTCTCCACAACCGCACCCCAAGCCTTCCTGCTACCGGGCAAACAGGACAAGAGAAAGCACCAGCAGTTCGTGCGAAGATGGCAGAAGCGTCTCCTTGGCGACTCGGAGCCTATTGGTGCACACGTCGACCCTTATGATCCCACATCACCGGTCCGCATAGCGCCTGAAGACCAGGGCGAATACGAAGAGGTCCTTGACGAGGAAGCCTCAAGATTCCCCCAATACAAGCCTGCGAAGTATCTACGCGGCCTGCATCGGGTCGGTGGCGAGGAATGGCTGCAGGAAAAGGTCGAAAAGGACTTGGCTAAGGAATTTGAGAAACTTACGCTACGGACGTACACGCCACTGACACTGGACATGGCCAATGAGATCGAAGAGCTCACGGGCACTCCGTACACTTTGAAGGACGAGAACCTGCTTATGGCGCAAACTGTACACGAGAAGACCAAGCGCCCATATACCGACTACAACTTTGGCCTCCACGCCAAAGCTACCCGGATTACCGATATGCGTGCCAGTTTCACACAAGCTGTCGCCGAGATTTATGCCCTGAAGCAGGCTGGTTTAGATATGGACCTATCCAAGTTTGCCAACCGAGGTGTTTACGATCGGCCACGCTGGGTCAAGGACATCAAGTTAGTCAAGACAGAAAGCGGTGAGCTTGCTCTTGCCTTCCCCCAGCACAAGAGCTTGGAAGATCTCTTGGAGACGATGCAAACGGCACCCGCTTGGGAGGCTGAGCCAGAGGTATCGGACGAGCTGCTCGTTGAAGAGGTCGTTGAGGAACTTGAGGATGCCGGCCTTGCACAGGAGCAAGTACAGACCATGGACCCCGACACACCAGCACACAAGAAAGCAGCAGTGGTCAAGATGGATGGCGAGAACAAGCCGTTTGACTTCATGTCGAACCGCCCCGTCCCTCGCGCCAAGCCAGTTGAAGCGCCCGTCAAGGAGGCAATTGTTGAGGAAGTGGTCGTTCAAGAAACTACGCCACCTCAAGTTGCTCAAGACGTACCCCAAACCGAGCTTGTTGACCATGCAGCCGACCCGGAGCCCGTTAACCAAATCGCTCCAGCTGCAGCGAGCGAGTCGCGACATGCTATCCTCGAAGAGAGAGCGAAGCGTTTGGCGGCTGACTTTGCGGCTCTAAAAACCTCAGTTCAGCAGAGCAGCAGAGATTCGTCTGCTATTAAGCCCGAAGAGACGAAATGGCGGCACGTTCCCGTCACTGACATCAACGTCAAGTTCGCTGTACGTGTATCGACCCTTTTTATTTTACCTTTGCTGACTTATGTAGCTTTACAAACGCCTTTACCAACTTACCGGCTGCCGCATCTCCGATCCACACCTCTCTTCCGCGAACACCCTAGGCGATCTATACAATCATGTATTAGAGGCCGCCAAACCCCAGCCTACCAGTCTCTTCAGCGCTATGCATGTAGAAGGGCAGAAGGCACGTCAGCGAGCGAAGCAGCAGGCCACATCTGATGCCGACGCCAAGAGGAGGGCCGACCTGGGCGATTTGATTAATCTGGGCAACGTCGAATTGCGTCGCGTCAAGCCTACCAAGGTTGAGAAGCGCAGCAAGACTGGTCAAGACAAGGTCATCAGCTATGCTCTATGGGAGCGTGGTCTGGGTTCAGGTATACCGGCTAGGCTTGAACAGATGAAGCAGAAGCAATCGAGGGGAGCAAAGAAGGCACAACCCGAGCGTGGAACTGTCACCCCCTTAACCAGCAAGGCCGCCGGTTTCTTGCTCAGAAAGAGCGGTACCTTGCAATCAGCACGCGCAAAAGCGGTGTAGCGGACAGTTCCTGGAACCATGAATACATTTGCATCCGATGCATGACTTATGCCTAACCATGATCTGAACGGGTCAATACATTGTATAGTATGTACACTAGGAGAGCTGGCATAGTTGATAGCTTC